CTGATAATAACCCCTTGTAGCAGCAGTGGTTCGGAAGCATTTGACCCACCTGAATAGAACTGTTAAAGGGATCGTCAAAGTCCCTAGAATGATTTGAAGATATAACGGCGTTCTTGTTGTGCTAATAGCAAAAACTGCAAGTGCTTCGTTCAAAGCACTACAGAGCCCAATCAAAGATAAAGAAAATTGTGGAAAGCTTTTCTCATTCTCGCCAAGATCTCGGGGAAAAACGATTCGAATGAATAAAGCCCCCAATCCAAAGATCACGAAAGAAGATAGACTACCAAACGATAGTACAAAGTAACTGTCTATCACTTGGCACCTCTTTGTCGATTCTTTGGAGGAGCTGAGCCAATAAAGATGCAACGATATGTCTTGGCCAACATCACCGACTACCACAACAAATGCAAATAGGAGATTTATCCAAAGGAGATCGAATTCCCAAGATCCAATATTGAAAACTCTCCGCTCTTCGTAAGGAGGTGGAGGTGTAGGACAGAACGGTCGGTCATTGCTGCTCGTTGATTCCGTGAATTCAGACTCAAATTGATCTGTACTTTCCGTGGAGCCGTACATGACAGTCTCTTGATCCATCGATTGAAATCGAATCACGTCCGAGGCTATATCTTATGCGGATCTATTTCCTTCCGATTAAAAGCGGAAGTTTTCTTTCTCAAGGAATTTCCCAGTAACGTGTTGTTCAATTGTGGCTAATCACGAGTATTGTGATTTGGGAGCGTTTGACCATAATAATCATTACACTTAGATCTTCAGAATAGGTCTGGAAAAGGACGAAATAACTTCTGCAGATGTCATCGACATATTCTCGTCTGACGCTCATATAATTAGGTGCAACTGAAGCATGCGCACGGCACACTAGTTGGAGAGGCTAAATTTGACGCTGGACTTTGAAGTGCAAACTCTGAGTTTCTTCAGCTAAAGAACTCTTCGTTCCTTTATTTCCCCTAAAATATAATTTACCCCTTCTCTCCTTCGAAAAAATGCCTCATATTTTAACAGTAACTATAAAGGTTGTGCGGATAGAGAAAGGGAATATTCTATCGTTTTCGGTAACCAGAAATCAGGAGGCCGTGAAAAATAGAAGCTAAGAAAGTAACTTGGGAAAGCTAGCTAGATATCTAACGAAAGAAAGTCAAATTCTTTTCGAACAACTCGTAATCTTGTGGGCTTTTTAAAGCTTACAAAAACTCTTCTCTCTTATCTGTCAGCGCTGTCTTTGTTTCTAAAAGCAGAACTGACGTCATTGTTCCGGTTATTCTCTGAAAAAGAGAGATCCATTTAAAGAGGTTATATGCAAATCACGTGTAACGCAGTCCATCCGTGAATTCTGACATGGGAGTTCTGCATGTTTCAATTAACTCATTTAGTTATTACTTTATTCATAACGCCGGACGAAAGAAGGATTTACTGTCCATGATTCTCGTGTGCGTTCTACCTACCCTTGAAAGTATGTGAATAATTTTAAGGTGTATTTGACGTGCCAAGAAACTGATAATACAACATCAATACGATTGTGCAGGGGAAATTTATTGATTACACTTAACGCTGACCTTGGAAAGCAATTTTTTCTATGTTTCAAGAACAACACATGCAGTTATACATATGTTATAAATTCTCCGTAACCTCTTTTTTAATCAATTGATCGTCATCTCATCTGCACCAAATTGTAGTCTGCTCGAGCAAAATTAATCGCTTTAAAATCATTGTTTTTTCAGTTTTTGATCAATTTTACTATCTCTGTATGTTAAATTGGCCTTTCTACTTTGGTGTTTAAAGAAAATCTTATAACGGTGTGTGAAGAAAGATTCATTCTCCATACTAATTCCTACTCTGGAAAAATTTGACATGCTATGTCTGCTATTAATCCATTATATTATCCCTTTTTTCGGATAAACTGTATTGGGTGCTGTTTACAAGAAATCTTGTGAAACAGCCTCAAGGTTTTTGTCCCTTTGTCTTACATTTGCAATGATGAAGCGCGGGTCTAATGAATACAGTTTTTTTCATAAGTCCTTTAAGTGTAAGAGCTCGGAGGATGTCTGCCCTCTGGGACAAGAAGTCGGTTTGATCCAAATGTTGACTGATACCGGTCAGTAGAATCGGGGTGATAAAACTTCTCACTTTGATTCCCATTCATCGAAATCTCTGGTGCACTAAAGTGAAAAATAAGAAGAAAGACATTGTTAGAAACTCGTGAAAGGATTCCTTAATGTGCTAAATTATCAAACAAATCATCAATCAAGGACCAGGGGTTTTGGTTCCGCAAATATTTATGTCGTTACATGATGAGGGTAGGGGGACAGGGGGGAAGGGGCAGGCACAGGGGGGGGAAGGGACAGGAACAAGGGGGAAGGGGCAGGCACAGGGGGGAAGGGACAGGCACAGGGGGGAGGGGGCGAAGAATCGAATTTAGTAACCTACGTTTAAATAACTGACCTACGTCCATGACAAGGACTGCTTTGATTGCTTTTCATATCCGCTGCCCTCTGATAAACGCCGCGTTAAAAACGCTAAAAATCCAGAGGACGACACAGCATTTTATTCTATAGACACGGTTGATATCTTTCCTTACCCCATGTTGTAAACAAAAATGGCGGGAACCATTATCGCTAACGCGCCGATACTGAACCAGGTGCTCACGTGACCTGCAGGGTGCCATTTGAATGGTGATTCGTCGAACAACGTCCAAAAAATGAATCCCAGCGGGGTGACGAGTGACTACAGGATATGTAAATAAAATTACGTCATCACCAGTGTTTACTTGTGAGGAGTTTTTCCTTACTGGCTACTTTTTAGTTTATCTATTTATCTATCCACTATCTAT